TGATGGTCTCGTTCTTGTCTCGGACTCGACGGCATTTGGTCTCGGTCTTGTCTCGGTCTCAGGCACTGAGGACTTAGCATTTTATTTCAAGACCAGTCGAGACCGCAACTGTGAAAATATCACTAAACGTACAGCATACTGTCCAGTTTATTTGTTAACATCATTGTTTTCAGTGGATGCAAATTGCACCGATTAAAATCCAACCAATAAAGTTTTTCTGTTATTCCCCCTTCCCTCTCCCCACCTTTCACTCGCACGCGGTGCTCCAAGACATGCGCAGTGGTTTCCTCTCAGCGGCAGAAGATCTAATCGTCAGTAATATAACAGCGCTGCATAAATCATAAGAAAACTGATGGCCACAGCTATCTCAGCAGCGCTTTGCTTTCACAGACGGTGGGGACAACATCTAACTTTTTTCGTCACTTAGAAAAGTGTTCAGAAAAGTAGCTCAAAGACAGGTAAGCTCCGTTGACGTGATGTTAGCAAAGCCAGCTGTATAGAGACATAAGCATTTGTGATGAAAAAAAGTAACTCACTGCGTTGAATTATTGTGCGGGGGTGTTGACTTACTTGCCGCAAGCATGGGACATGGGTGTTTTTATGGGAATATGGATCTTTCAGGTCAATTTGAGAAGTAATTTTGATCATATTTTAATTTTTATCGTATCATGTAGCGCGGGGCGCTGGTCTTGGTCTTGTCTTGGTCTCGGGTTAGGTGGCCTTGACCACAACACTGGGATAAATGTCGGAGTCGGAGGAGGAGGAGGGGTGTGGTTCGGTGACCCAGATGACGTTCAAAAGTTTGTTTCTGATCGACTTTTTCCTTCATATTAATCTCAAACAAACCACTGCAAAGCCTGATCCACTTTTTTCACTTCCGATACAATACACAAATCCAACACAAAAACCAAACCGATACAGAGAATCAGCGCTGAAACTGACTTTCAACATTTATTCTTTTAAAAACACAGACATAAATGTACTGGATTACAGATTTATTAAATAACTTTGCACCAATACTTGGTCAAATCAAGCATGTAGAAACAGCTTTAATTTGATCAGTGAGTATTTAGGAGTAAATCAGCCGATTTGAAATAAATAATAAAGAAATTTTCCTTCAAATGGTTCAGAAGGTGAAATTATTAACTCTAAATATAATTTAAAATAAATAATAAAGCAAACTGCTCAGAAAATGAAGCATTTTCCCTTATGTTGTCATGGATACGGAGATTTTATTTTAATTTTGAGATCGATACAGATATTAATATCGGTTCGGTTTACTGCTAATTTATTTCACCTTAAACTGGACTTGCTTTATGATAACTAGTTTTACATTTTCTCAGTATATAAATTTAAGGAAATAAATAGTAAACATTGTTGCTACAAGGTGAATATAATTACATTTTTAACCACATAACTAAAAAGTTATCTTAAAGTTACAGCGCACAGAAAATCATAACAAATCCTTATCAATCAATTAATTAATTAGGTTTATTTGCATATCACATTTCAGCAACAAGGCAGTTCAAAGTCCTTTTATTATATCCTAAAATCACACACAAAAAAATACAAAAACAGTCAACAATTTTCAAGCACCATCAAAATGTCAGTGTTTGCATTAAATAAGAAACATGATTAAAGTCACTCGTGAACAGGTTTGTTTACACCATAAATTATTAAAATTGTGCTGCGGCAAAAATTTTAATTTAAGATTAATTTTCGAAATGTCAGATAAAGCTACTTCCTAGAGCCAACACTTTTTTCTTTTTTTTTAATTGCTGTTTTTCCATTAAGATAATTTATTATATGGTCAATTAAATCACAGCTACTGAATATGGAAGATTTAAAAATGTTGGCAGGTTTTCTGAACGCTCAGATTTAGGGTAAGAATCTAAATCACACACAAAAATTGTATCTCTTGTTATAATTTCTTTTAAAATAAACTAAATACACAACATCTTATTTGAATTTTAAATGTGCTGATATAATTTCTATACAGATAGTATTTTTAAATTCACTTTAATTTGTTTTAAGCAGAGAACAAACTAGCTTATTCATGCTTAAACGTTCAGCTGTTAGAGTTGATTTCCTACAAGGAAGTTGATTATTTTCTGCAAGAAGTTTGCAGGTTTTCTCCAGGTATTCCAGCTTTTTTTCACTGTCTAAAAACGTGACTGTTGGTTTAAATAGTAACTTTAATAAGCAGAAAACCCATTAAAACACAGAAAAGAGGCATATGGTGCATTTATAAAGTAAAGGACTCTGTGCTTCATAGTGGCGTTGTAAAGCGATTGATCAATCTGGTTGCATCAGCGAACAGGAAGAGCAGGTCATGAGGGCAGAGCGGTTTATGATGTAAACTACGCTGTCCTTCACACCGATGGTGTAAGTATCTGAAATGTACCGTCTCCTTCTGAGTAAATGGGGTAAGTAGTAAGTACTCTTTTGATTATTTAGGGCCTTTAAATATAAAAGCCACAGAAGGCTTTACAGTTGAACTCCACACATTTGGCCTTTATTTGCAACATTCAGACCTAAACTGAACTGAGAAACTTTAATTTGAGTTTCTCAATATTTTATTTGTGAAATACTTCAAAAAATCCTGCATTGCTTTCATTCTGCTTTTCATTAGCCGCTCCTAAATTACTGCCACCCTGGGTGACCTCCCTGTCGTCCCCTAACCAATCAGAAGGTAGAAAATCACAGAAACTCTGACCACAGTCAAGCAGAAAGCAAGTAAAACTGGTTTGAGGCACAAATAACAAATCTTTTATCCCGTCTCTAATGTCGTAAATGGATCTTCCTGTTTGGTCCTTATGCACAAAATGGCCACTGATGCATTTTAGGCTCGACTTTATGTTGGCCTGCCACGTGAAATCTCAATAAAATACATGCAAGTATGGTTTTAAACACTTTTATAGCTTTAGTTTAGGGTTGATCTTCTCCTCTGTTGGTGTCACTTCCAAAGGATAATAATGGATCACGTGGAGACTTTAAAAATTTATTTTAAGTGATTTTTATGTCTTCTGAAAAGGATGCAGAGAAATTAACATCCACCTAAAATGAAAAGCACAAACTGTTCATGTCTATTAACCACATTTAATTTATTAATAAGCTGTTACTTAAATAAACATAGCTAAATAAAACAGGAGTCCTGTTGTCGTAACTTGGAATAAACAGGAAAAATGCAGATGAAGGTTTAAGAAATGAGACTTTCTGTTTTTGTCTTTTGTTTGAAACGGTAAAATAAGAGACAGTTTCTGTTTGAGATCTGAAATGATTTACAGATCCCATATCTACAAAAATCTATTTGCTTTTTAAAAATATTTTGTACTATAAAATTGCAGTTTTAATGAATAAAAAAGAGCATTTTGTTGTATAGACCACTTTCACCTCGGCAGGTTTGGTCCCAGTAAAAGTCGACCATATCTGATGGACGCTCCTTCATGGTCTTTTGTAGAAAAATGCCTACTTGTGTACCTCATTAAAAGTGAAGTTTCTGTTTAAATCATGCATTATATTGCCAGAGGAAAAGATGAAGCATCCTGAAGGTTTTAGTTCCTGATTCAGTCACGTTGTAGAAGAAAAATCCCACTGCTGTCAGGACTGAAGCAGGATGTTTTAACGCTTGTTGCAGGAACACATCTTTAGAAGTTCATGTTTACATTAAGCTGTGATAAAGGCTGAGGGAAGGAAAATGTAGAGGAAATTTTGAAATATTTACACTGGCGACATTCTTTTTTCAGTTCGACGCTTTATGACGCATGGAAAGTTCCCAGGACTTTCTTTGAACTTAAGGCGACCAAATACTTGGAAATGTTTTCTGCTGAAGCAGAAATGAAATGAGAGTGTCACTCATTTGATATCAGATGCATCAAAAAGATTGTTTTCAAAAGCTGCAGCAGTAAAAACATTAATTAATGTTTTTTACTCCGCTACGGTTAAAAATCAGTACCAAACCAAAAGTCCTACATATGAACATTTTCCTCTTATTTTTAAACAAAGATTATGGATGAATAATGTGTTTGATTATTGGTATGCAGCCCTGCAGCGTATGGTGTAGATCCAATCAGTTTGTTAGAACCTGTTTCTGAATAGTGATGCCATAAAGATAAAACACAAAATACAGGTTGATGTCAAATGACAACTGGTTGTGCCTTAAAATAACGTCAATCCAGAGTTTACAAAAACAAGCCGGTCTCCTATGTCTCTGTTCGTCTGTGTGTGTCATGGAAATTGTTCACCAACTTTCTCCGTGCGTAAGAAACATGTTGGCCAGACAGAGCTAACTCTGATTCACTTCTTCTTACCATCAGAGTTCAAATAGATGCATAAAAAAGCAACATGCAGCCATCTTCTTGTGTTTTTCTTTGTTGTATTTGGTAAAAATCTTGGAGTTTCTAACAGAACAATCAAACTGATTGTTGTAGTTTTATTCGTTCATTTGGGCTAAAGTGCTAAAGGAGCTAAAACACAAACATCTGGTCAACATGTTGGCATCCGGTGGGACCTTTTCCTCCCGTCCGGCTGTCACAACAGCAAAGAACATGAAAGAGGGCAGCGCCAGTAAACCAACAAAGAGGTAGCACCAAAATAGCATCCGGGGTTAAAGGTCAGCAACGTCAGCTATTTAAATAATCCCAACACTGGAAGAAAATACAATTTGTTGGTTTTTGCTAGAAATCCCCCCAGAAAACATTTTTGTTTTTGGTGAAGTAAAGCCTTAAATAAAGTAAATGTTTATTGAGGTGCCATAATCTCTCACAAACAGTTTTTAAATAAAATCAAACCTAAGAGCAGAGTATATTTATTCTGAAAAAAAGAACTCCCAACAAACAAACAAACAAACAAACAACGCTATGTGAATTCTCATAATCCTTTAAATTTGCATTTGGGAAGAAAACAAACTGGATGCTTGACGTGGGTTTGGTGACTATTTTGGTTGTATTTACCCAGAATGCCCTGCGTTGTAGTCCACTTCCTGCTTTTGGAGCCATCTCAGTACAACCAAATTTACTTTGTTGTTCAAACTAAGACCAGCTGTATTTGCCAAAAATATATCTGTACATTGTGTTGACTTTGGTTTTCCAGAATTGTAATAGTAAAACACGTTGAAAATCGAATAACTTTTCCTTCCTTTTCAGAATTACGCACCAGTTCCTGTTGGTCTATCACAAAATACCAATTAAACACATCTCTGGAAACAATTAAGGGACCACCTGAAATGATCAGTTTTTCCGATTCTGTTTTTAATAGGTTTATGTGTGAGTAAAATGAACATTGTTCTTCTATTCTATTAACAACTCAAAACATGTCTCCGTTATTTGCAGAAAATAAGAAATGGTCAAAATAAAGAAAAAGATGCAGTGCTTTCAGACCTCAGATAAGTAATAATATTAATAATATTCATTTAGAAACAACAATACTAATGTTTTGACTCAGGAAGAGTTCAGCAGTCGGTATTTGGTGGAATAACCGGGAGGTTTTCAATGTTTTTTCCAAAGCTGTACCTTTAGTTGTTGTAACATGACAACATGTGAAGGGGTGACAGGTGTTACCTCTACTCTCATCAGTGTTTAAAAGTATAGCATTAAAAACAAAGCAGAGCACAGTTCCAGGAAAAATAAACCTATCAAACACATTTCTGGCAGGACATCTGATACTCCTGACTGAAACCAGTCTCTGGTTTAACTGGTTTTCCCTAAAAGTCGCTGAATGACTCATCTCTTTTTTAGCATTTATTGAACTTTGTGCATCGCACCACTACTAATGGCATCTGGCCCCGAGCAAACTTTCCTCTCTTCTTTTGTTTTTATAGAGCTCTGTATTGACTCGACTGTGTTAATGAGACTGAGGCTTCACCACTCGATGGTAGTTATTTATATTGATCTTTCAGGATGACACACGTTTCATTTGTGTCACAGTGCAGCTCTGTTTTGAACTCGGTCAAGCAAGGCCAACTTTTTCTGTAAAGAGACACAAAAAGTGTCATAAAAAGACAGAAAAGTGAAGTTGTTGGCAGACATTCCCACAGAATGTGAAGTGTAAAGGCTGATTAATATCTGCAGTGATCTGATATAGAGATGTTACAAAAACCAGCAGCTCACGCATAACTATCGCAGACAAGTCAATGTCTGATCAGTGCTAATGCTACTCGACCAGTTTAATGGACAAAATATTCACTTTTTAGACTAGATATCGCTAATTAATAAACTCAGGGGCCATATTTCATTTAATGAGATACACAAAAATCATTAAAATGAGAAACGTTCTGGTTTTAATGACTAGAGTTATAGGGTCTGTGTTGTATTTTTTCATCTGGCTCCAAGGCAAATTGTGTATTTAGGTGATCTTGGTGTCCATAGCACAAAAACGTTACAGGCCACACATGTTGCAGTAAATAGAAGATAATAATGATGGTCTCAAAGTATTTTTTGCTACCAAATTATTGGCTGATTCCTTATTAACAACTAATAAGAATGTAGCAAGTGGTTTCTGAATGGTAGGTTAAGAACAAAAAATGTTTTTTTCCAGCAGCCATTGTACAGCGTACACAGAGGTAAAACCAGCTGTGCGAACTTGCTGGAGTTCAACTTTGGTTGCTAGGTAACGGAATGGGCTTCACTGAGGTTGCTAGGTGACCGCCAGTGACTGCTGACTTGTTACGTTACATTCCTGCTTATTTTCCAAGAAACAGAAAACAACTCGATGTTTCTTTTTTTTTAAAGCAGTAGAAACTCAAATGGAAGCATAAAAACGTTCAAATTCTGAATTTTGATCAATGGGGGAATGTTGAGATGCTTTACCAAGGCCGAGAAAGAGTCACACGCTGTTAGACAAAGGGCCCATAGTAAAGAGTTACATTTTTGATTCTGTTAGACACCAAGGTCCATTTCTCATGAGAAACAGAAACTTCTCAGGCCACAGAGACATGGTGTGATTTCAGGGAGTGTCTTCAGTCCATATAATCAGCTGCCCTCCTCTTTCTCCTCAGACGCTGCACAGACTTTTTTAGAAACTCTTCTCGGATGTAATGGTAAAGCGTCTCCTTTCAGCGCTGAAAGTTAATAAAATAAGTAAAGACTGAATGCTTTTCTTGGCTGATTTTATGCTCCGTGTGTCAATACAAATTATGATTCATCGATTGAGATTCTCATTCTCAACAGTCCCCTTTAAACCTTGAAGAATAATAAACTTTACTAATATATTACAGTAAACTATTCAAAAACAAAGCGCAAAACAAGCATAGACACAAAAAAGAGTAGACACAAGTTAATCATAAAATGTATTTATTCAACTATTAAATGTCTACACCCCAAAAAAATAACATTACACACTTGGAACAGCCGCATTACTGATTCACATTTTTATTACATATCTCATTAAAATCTTTCTGCAGTAACAAATGCTGCACCCAGACGTCCTGAAGGGCGTTTTGTTAATCATTCTCCTGTAAAGGACACAAGGCTGACAGGATGTTCTTCTGTTTTGGCAGATTCCTCTCATGTTTTCCTCCTAGGACGGTTTCTTCATTGCTAGCTGCTGTGCTATATGGCCTCATGGCTGCAGTGCATCTATACCACTTTAGTACTCAACAGTTGTGTCAATTTGTTCTTTACTGCTATAATTATCAGGATTTAAGGAAAAAAAGAAGGTGATTTTTGCCACAATGCATTATTTAGGAATCACTTAAGGCTTAATTTTCATGAGGTGTCAGGATTTAAAATACAATTCATCATAAAAATAAAGAAAATAGACTAAAAATAACAGCTATTGTCATGGAGCTGTCAGCTCTTATGTACAATTTGAATCAATAAGGAGGTCAAAGCCTTCAGGCTGCATGTCTGCATGGGTCTGCACGTGTGTGTGTGTGTGTGTGTGTGTGAACCAGAGGGGGATTTTCTAAGTCAATCGCTTGCAGTGGAGACGGCTGCAGCGGTTTGGTAAGCTGCTGCGTTGCAGAGGCTGGCTTGCAGTCAGAGATTACAGCTAGATTGGCAGCGGGAGTGTCCTCATGTCTGTGTGTCCACTTTTGGCACCTTGTAACTCACACATGGTGATATGGTGTTATCCGCCCCCGCTAACTGGAGCTGTGCAGCCTGTGGTTTCTGCAGAGCGCCACTCTGGTGAAAATATTTAAGCCACCGTGACATGTTTGCATTGTGTAAAAATGTTGAGCTTTACATCATGTTATATTGCTAATCCCTCATCAAAAACATAACTGGAGTGTTGATTTGACTATTTCAAGCGTATCTGAGGAATATTTTTATCTCCTCAGGCAGACATTTTGGGTGCAGAAATGCCTGGGGGAACTGAGCGGAGACTAATGTCAGCAGAAATCAGCAGCTGCGCGTTTGCTGAGCTCATAATACAAACTATTTCTCAGTGAAATGCTGGTAAAAATGTTGCTCTACAGGCTTAATGGAAAAACTTTGTTGTGATGACTTCCTGAAGGCAGAGTTTCCAGAAGAGCAGGAGCTTCTTAAAGAGACAGAAGTCCAATTCCAAGGTGTTAAATTGCAAACTCAAATTTGTTTTCTCGACAGCATTTTATGGCACTATGTGTCCTGAAAGTACATAATCCTGCCCCTTTAAAAACAAACTTTAACAGGCCATGCTTCTTGGATCCAGAAATAAATACAGCGGTTTTACAGGAGTTTGAGTTTTAGAGCTGGATGGAGAGAGATATGTCTTTTTCCTATGGTTTGCAGCAAAGAAAGGTATTTCTGAAAGGGGGAAGGGAGGACAAGGGGCAGAAGAGGGGGATGGGAACTACTGGAAGGAAGCACGGACAGTGCGGCCTCTGAGTGGCTGCGGAGGGCGGTAGTTGTCCACCATGCAGCATTCAGCCTCGCCCTCACCGGAGAAGAGGAGGCTGCGAAACTTGGCCATCTGTAAAACAGGAGAAGAAGAAAAGTAGTCAGAGCAGCCCACCTGTGATTTATTATAACTCTGATTTAATCCCAGAGACGCTGCACACAGTTCACTGGAGCAGATTACTATAATTTAAATCAGCTGCAAATCTACTTTCCCAAATTAGAGGACTGGTAGCTCATCAAATCTGCAGTAAAACCCCCCAAAAAGGTAATTTTCAGCAGTTAAATAATGGTTTTTGGGCAAAAGGAAAAGTTTAAAAATAAAGAAATCATATAAGTTTTCTGGAACATTTTATTCCGGTTTTAAGAAAGATATTCTTGGTTATCTTAAATCTTGAGCACATAAATGTCAAACCTTTTAAATTATTCATGAAATGGAACAAAAAATAAAAATAAACAGAAGTAACATTGATTTACCAGGCAACATAGGCTTCCTAAGCCACTGATTAGCATATAAATGTTACATTTTCCATTGATTTTTGTAATCAAAAATACTTTAAAACAATAGCTAACAGCTAATCTGCTAAATTTGGGTTAGCAGTTAGCTCTCCAGCTTCCAAAAAACCCTAATTAGCATATAAATGTTACATTTTGTATTGATTTTATAATAAAAAATGCATTAAAACAATAAGTTATCTTTCCAAAGTAATCAAAAAAGATAATTTTTTAAATTTAATCTGACCCATCTCTGTCTTTTCTGAAAATATTTAAGTATTTTGGAGCAAAGCAGCTACAATCTAACAAATCAGTTGCAACATGATTGTGTCAGTTAATAATTTACACACTCCTTCAAAAAGCTTCCGCTATATGACGGAGTTAGTTGTTTTTTTGTTTTACAGCTTTGACCAAATAATTTAGGTGATAGTTTCAATCCCTTGTAATCAGCTGATAGATTATTGATGGGTAATCATTTACTTGCTTGTAAATGTTAGGCCAAGTCTGAAACGGCACTGAGTCGAAAGGTTATCCTGCACCAGGAAATACAACTTGTGCATGCAGTGTTAGTTTTCACATGGCTAAGGGACTTGAGCTGCAGAGTCTAACGTCTGCTGCGTTTGGTGTTTTTGGACAGACACAAATTATATTTTCTGTAAAAGCTGCAGAATCATGCTCTAAGTAGATCAAAGTCCCTTCAGTTTCAGACTTTCATGTGTGGGTTGAATATTTCCTGCTGACTCCCCACACATTCACTCGCACATTGTGGTAAGCCAGTAACGTCTGTGTGAACTCTCACTTGAACTCTTTCTCTCGGTCGGCAGTGTCATTTTTTTCTCATTTGAGACTAAAATGGGGGGCGCTGTATTGCATTTCTTCCCCTTACAAGAGGTTTGTTCTTCTGGTTTTAGGAACAGCAACACCAACAATTATGCCCTTGATTCATGTCGTAGCAAAAAGGAGAAGCTTTGCTCACAGAGCCGTGGAAGAATGGGCTCTTTAATTAGAAATACCTGCTCAGAGCTGACGCTGATTGGCTCTTTGCAGACGATCCAAGTGACGCTTTCCAGCAGAGGGGGCGTGGTCAGAGAGCCCTCGTACGTCCAGTAGTCCAGGCAACCAGGCAGCAACGATTCAGGGTTGAAGTCAGCAAAGGAACATTGGCTGTCCTGAAAGTGCATGACAGAAAAGTAAATAAATTAATTGATTCAGAGGATGAACAAGAGTGGTTCTGTAGCTACGTACTTTGGTCTTGATTGAATCAAACTCGTCAATAAGTTTCTGGAGATTAGGGTTTTCTTCACCAATCTGAAAGACAGGAAATAATAAAAAACCAGAGTGAGTTTTTCTGAGGTGTTGAGGTCACACTGAATGACTTCAACCAATAATGTTTACCTTCAGGAAGACTCCAACTACAGCAAGGCCGTCAGGTTGACTGGCGGCTTCCCCAAAGTTTGCATATTTAGTGTTCCAGTGCACCAGATGGAGCTGGAAATAAATTAGTACAATGATGTTTTTATTTAAGAACACAAAATAATGACTTTTAAGATGTTTCTGTGCCCCAGATTTTATGGAAATTACAGTTAATCTCATTGTCTTGGAAAATAGAGGAGTAATCGTACACTTCCTGTCCAAATGCTACGGATACTCCTTTCCTGATCACACTGGATCAATTTCTAACTGGATTTTATTGGGTTGTTTTGTAATTAAGGAATCAATTTGGTCTGTCAGCATTTTATAAAATAACACCAACATGGATTTTAAAGAGTGAATAGTGCAGATTTGGATCTCATTGTGGTAAAACTACTGAAAATGAAACATTTTTGTCCGTAAATGATTTTAATATAATATCTAAAGCTTTAAAAGCATCTATTATCTCAAAAAGGTGAAGTATTTACCTTCAGGGAAGTATTTCTACAGAAACTGATGATAATTTACGCTGGAAATTGGTCTGTTCCATGAGGCAGAAGTTAGGTTGCTTGGAAACTGCAGTTCAGAGGAGGAGCTGCACCTCGAGGGCGGAGCTACGTCCACCCAGGAGTTTTGCACAGCTGCCATGGGAGCTTAAATGTGCAGTATGGAACTTTTACATGTAAAAAAGGTGGGTCTTTTTTTACATATTTGTTGAAACTGTCAACATGTCATGACATTATGGTATGACACAAATAATCTATGAAAAATTTGAACTCATCTGCTTTCCCCTGGCCAACCAATCAGAGCCAGGGGGCGGGTCTTTGCACTCTCAACCAATCACAGTCTTGTGTGGCACTGCTCTCTACCATAGCCTGTTGTGAATGCTAGCATGCTTTCCTGAAACAGTAAGTTGTTTCTCCGTCATTAGGACATGTAGAAGTGAGTACATGAGGAAGATTGACAGTGATAAGACCCGCCTCCTGGCTCTGATTGGTTGGTTTTGGTTGGGAATGGAAGTGGAGCAGCTCCATCTTTTCACACAGTATACTGTCAGAACATGGTGACAGTTTTCACAAATATGTAAAAAACATATATTTTAATAAAAGTTATACACTGCACCTTTAAAGGATTTTGCAAACATGCATGAAAGAATCAAAGCAACACTCCAGGCGTGTTTTTGATGAGGTTAAAATTTACATTTTATCATGATGTAAAGTTTACTTTAACTGACAGAATCTGGAACGGCACCCTTTTAGTTTTTAACCTCAATCTTTTGTAATGTGATATTTTTATAACAGCATTCTTACTTCAGCCGGGTATTTGGTCCCGGCCACAGTATGTTCAGAGCCGTGGTCATCTGAAGACCCCCAGTGAAAATGAAACTGTTTCAGTCTGTGGTTAAATAAGACGGGTCCGTCTTTCAGAGCTGCGGAGAGGACAAAAAAAAAAAAAAGGAAATACTCCTCAGTCAAGTCAGCCTACACTCAGCATGAGTCAGCCACAGTGCGGGTTTGAATGTTGCACTTTGGTAGGTGAAACACAAACACACTGCAAAGGAAATACGTCCTTGAACGAAGATTATAAAGAGCAACATAAATAAGACAAGATCTGAACTTCCTTCTTGATGAAACAGACTCAGTTCTTGTTGTGTAAGAACTCAGCAAACTGATGTCCAGAATACAGTCCAAGTTGCGTAATCTATATTTACTCACTGAATACAAAGCAGTGGAAATAATTGAGATGCTCAAAACATTTAGCAGTACTGACTCTTTGTTCAACAGAGACAGTCGACATGTTTCATGTTTTCCACGGGTACATATGATGCATAATCACATCCTGCAGACAAATGGAGGCTTCGTTTAGAAGAAAAGGAAGAAGATGAGCAATCCAGGTTAACAACACAGAAATTACACTCTATTCTCAATTATATGTGTAAATTAATTCAGAAAAATTGCAAACCAAGAAAACAAGGCAGCCATAGATTGTGTTCTTCTTGCAGAAAAACCACCAACCCCCAACTTGTTTTTTTCTCTCCACTTTTTCACAATTGACCTCACTGCCAGCTTTAAAGTTGCCATGGGAAACGGTTTCCAGGGGCTTTCTTTTGCAGGGTCTGAATGCTTTTCTTTTCATTTACAATTCAATAGAAACAAGAAAGTTTAAATTAAAATCTATTTACAGGATTGTAAAATAGCCAGTAAAACCTGTTCAACAATTGGTGGAAATCCTGAAAATCATTAATTTACTTGTTCTTGATCTTAACCATGTAACTCCAAATGTATAAGTTCTGGTTCCCATATTTCTATGAGAAGATCTAAGGACAGGATAATAGGAAGCTACAAAGTCAACAAATAGAAAATAAAATATAAATACCAATTATATATGTATACAGATAGAGGAAGAAAAGCTATGTGTGATACCTGAAGTTGTTTTAGTTATCCGGCATGTTATTTTAATTTACAGAATAAATTTTGGTTTGGTTTGTAAATTACAATTATCATATTAGTTATACAAAAATGAAGAAATCCAGGTAGTATTTAAAATATTGTTTGATTAAAGACAATCTGTTTGAAACTTTAGTCACTTCAGTCCTTTCAGAGGCCAGAATAAAAGTCTAATCAACGCACAAATCGTTATAAATCCGTTTGCTTACACTTACAGCACACCATGATCTGGAAAATAAAATCTTATCTGCAGCCAACAATCTATACGACCGTTTTGTATCGGATTGATTTGATATATTTCTATATAACTGGATGTAAATTACATCGGATTGTCTTGAAAAGCCCCTTAAGATTATCTTGTTGAATCAAATTAACACGAATTAGGCTGGAACGTGGAAATCTTAAGTAACAGGAGGAATATTGCCCCGTTGACGTTAATAATCCACGCAGTATTCAGAAGTGGACACTAACTTGAGCTGTCGATGTCGTCTAGGAAGGTCACTTGGAAGGAATGGCCGTTGTTGAGGATCTCCAGGCAGGTGGACGGGTCGTACTTCAGGACGAGCGGCTTCAGCGCCGGGTCGTATGAAGCGTCACCCGGAACGATGTTGATGGGAGACTGGCGGGGTCCGTTCGCAATTGGGAAGCTGTCAGCCCATTTGTCGGGTCCTGGATATCATGTGCATAGTAAAATAAATAAATAAATAAATAAATAAATAAATAAATAAATAATCAGATTAATTTCTTTAAGCTTTGTGTGTATAAAATGCATTTTGGGGAGGAATCTGTGCGTAAAATTCCCCAAAACGCATTAGTCATATTCTGATGACACAAAAATCTCTGCAGAGATCAGAGGATGCGCATTATGCTTTAATTTATTCAGCACCCTTCTCGTTCCTATGACTGGTTCTAATATTAATTTAATTACTGCACCATCCAAACAGCGCCTCACCGGTATGCGCTCCGTATCCCCAAGCGTGAGACATTGCTAATGTGTTTTCTGCAGAGGCTGTGTAATCTCCCAGCGCAGAACAGAGCAATGCAGTGCAGAGCTGCCAGTGTCCTCCACCTGACAGCTGCCGAGCTTATATAGCCTGTGCGCGGCGCGTCTGCCAGGCTGGTGGTGGCCACATGATGCCTGCGTATAGTGACCGCGGGAGGAGTTTAGACGCGATGAAGCGACGCTCAGTATCAATCCAAGGCTCCAAATTCCTCATCCATGCCGGAGAAACATGCAGATTGATGCGCTTTCGGTTTTCATCTAACGGATTTTGCTGCGTATTACGCAATGATGTGACGCAGTACAGGGTGGCGGCGCAAGGTGAAACCGGACTTCAATTATACCAGTAATTTTCACAAAAGCTAAAAGAAAAATTGCTATAAAGGAAGAAGATTGTTTTTAACTTATTTTTTTGTTGCAATCTATAATCAATCTCAGATTATTAATACCTTAATTTGATAATAAAGTCACAAGTTATTACACGAGCTCAACAAAATTACATTAAAACGGAAATCATGCATTTTTTTACCTCCATATATTTATAACACTAAGTGCACATTAAATATGACAACCCAATGAAATAATTTCAGATAATTATTTATTCAGTCTCATTGGGAATTTCCACAGACCTTGTAGATTATTATTTGCAGCCCAGTGGCAACTACTGCTTAGTGCAGCATGACACAATGAGGTTTGCATCGCAGTGCTGCGTGAAGATCGTGCAAACTGGAGGGAAGGGGTAATTAATTGTGTAATGGAACCATCTGGTGGTGCTAAACAGAACTGCAAGAGTTTTTGTACATCAGAACAACAAAATTGTATTTTATAGGGTTTTTATGTGGTAAACCAACACCAAGTATTGCTTTAATAGTTTTTACAATTAGCAATCTTAAAACGATGGAGTGGATTTGCATTCAGTGAATAAACTACCTTTTTATTTAACTGTTGCAAGTCTTTTTGGATAGATTTGTACATACAGACCAGATTATTTGACCAAACTTAGGAAACAGAGTTGTGAGATATTCAAAGTTTGCATTACTGTTTTACAACCTAATTCTGTTTTACACTTATATAATATAATATAATATAATATAATATAATATAATATAATATAATATAATATAATATAATATAATATAATATAATATAATATAATATAGAGTTAGGTTAAAGCTTCCCTTAAATCCACCTGACGAAGATGGCGCCCTCATTGACGGGTTTCACAATACCAGTCATTTTATCGCGTCGTCGCACGCAAGTGACGTAACCGGCAGGGCACGTTTGTAGCACATGAATTCACAAACATTGCTCCTCATATGAAAAAGGTAAGTAAACTTTTATTTAGTGCTTCTATTTTCTGATTTCGATTTTTGGCTCCGATTTAGCTTCTCTATGGCTGTTAGGATGTTTGGCTAAAATGTACGTTGTGACGCCGCATTTGTTTACAACGTGGAAAGTGAACAGTTGACAATAACGAGTTCGATATTAGTTAAAGAGCACATTGTATGAAAGGCTAATTGTTCTAGAAGCGCATTTATCAACTATTAAAACACTATTGGAGAACATAAACATCTAACGGAACGTGAGCTGACCTATTTTAGTAGTTTAATGCAACTACAAAAACAAGCTTTAAAAACAACTAGTAGCTTAGTATTTCACAGCGTTTTGTTTAAATAAACGCTTCCAACATTTAGAATATAAAATGATTGTTATACAGATTTACTGTACTTCAGGAAATAAATCTGTAAAATAAAGACATCTGCTTTATTTTTTAAAATTTGGGTTCGTGAATACAGTTTAACTACCAGAATAAGAGAGATAATTATTACTTTCTTTTAAATCAGAAGTTTGCGTACACTAAGACTGGTTGGGAAAATCCTGGATGATGATGATGATGTCAAAGCGTTAGAAGCTTCTCAAAGGTTAATTAACAATAAAATAAATAATGTGATACCTGAATTTGCTATTTAATATTTTTAAACAGTTACATGCAAGTATGAACAATATAAGAATGTGAGAAGACATTTTTAGGATGCTGGAAAGACAGTGTTATCCACACTGAGACTAGTTTTGTTCTGAAATAGTCTGTTTTTTCTTTAAAATTTCTCTGTTGCTGTTTTTCCATTTCCTTCAGGTAACATGGCGAAGAATAAACAGAAAGGAAAGAAGCAGAAGAGTGTTTTCCAAGTAGCAAACAGGCATCTGAAGATGAAGAACAAAGCAAAACCTGTCACAACATCTCTAAAAAATGTGAGATTTTACCCTTCCCGCCTTAAATTATGCACATGTATTATCCATCCCCTCCATATATCTTATATATATCCAATTCAGTGTAGCGTTTACACCTGCTGCTTCGGTGTGTGTTGTGTTTGGACAGATCAATGCAATGAAAAATGAGAAGGTTGAAAACCTAAACCAGGTATTTACGGAGGTGCAGAGGGATGTGAAGAGCATTTCCAAAGGTGTTGTGCCGCAACCAAAGAAAAAAACACAGGTAGAGGACGAAACTGTTTAATACTTTAGATACTTTTATGACACAGACAATAACACATATGTTTGGGCTTTTTTAGGGTCCGAAAGAACCACCAAAGGAACCGGTAAATGTTGACAATGCTGCTCAGCTTTTCTCTCAGCTTTAATGGATCGATCCTGATGACTGATTCACATTTTTTCTGATGGACATTAAATGTCAAAAAGAGGAATGCAGATTTTCCTACAGCACCAGCATGTTGTTTAATCCTTCGCTGCAACTGAAGAAGTATATTGGCGGCAAAAAAATGAGACTGTCAACAATGAATCTTCTGTTTTTGTTCTTGACTATTTTTTCTACGTTTGCACAGATTAATAAAACAAAAAAGGAAATTTAAACGAAACGAGTGATGTCTTTGAATCAAACACCACTTCATATGTTTGGATATTTGGGAAGCTGCAGTAACTGTTTTTGTTTTTGTCAAACCAGAACACGAATCAAACACATTTAACTGAACTTTGCATGAATATTTCAAGTTGTATGCATTAATTAGAATTAAAATTCAGAATCAATTTAAATTTATACAACAAGTTAATGTTTTTCTTAAGTCACTGAAATTGTTTTCCGCCAAGACAATCTCCTGCCGGTGTGTCTGAAACCACCACACAGCCAAACTGCTTTAATTTTTCCATTAACGCTTTTCGATGCAATTTCATATTTCCGTCGCTCTGTCGCCATCTAGCGGCCAGAGTTATGCATAAATTCCAGTTTAGCCACTTTGCATTTAAATACCTAAATTTACATCTGGTTTGTGCAGTATAACGTGTCAACGTTGAGTGATATCATGCTTTGCCTTTATTTAAATAAAAAGTTAAAAAAATACATGTTCTATTTTCATTTGTTCGTTTTTGCCATTTTCCTGTGTTGGTGTGTTGGCTTACAAACTGGTTAAAATTTTATTATGTAGATAAAAAGATACAACAAATAAAAGCCAAAAACAAAAATATGTGGCCATAGCCTTGTAACAATAAAAGTTCAAATTGAACTGAAAGGCCACAAAAGCAAAGAAAGAGTTCATTCATGGGAGCAGCTGCACCTTCCCTCTTTTATTATTTAACATGTTTTGTTGTGACTTTTTGTAAATCTCAGTTGACTCCTGCTCCCATTGTTGATGGGTCAACCCAACATTCGTGACCTCCTGCCAAACAAACCCAGAGAAGGAAGCCTGTTCATCAGGGAGCTCACAGTTTTAGTTTCCTCCACTATAAAACTGTAGACTTGAAAAGTGATGTTCTCAGACAGAATGGTTACAAATGTTCATCTATACACTGCAAAAACAAAATCTTACAAAGTAATTTTGTCTAGTTTCTAGAGAAAGTATCTTCATACCCTTTAAATAAGACAAAAGTAATTTATAAGAAACATTTCAGAACGACAGAGGAGCGTGTTTTAAGTTAATAATTCCTTAATATTGATGGAAAATTACTAGTTCCATTGGAATATATAAAAAGAAAGATTGTATTGTATTGTTGATAGTATAGTATAGTAATATACTATACTATCAACAATACTAAGGAATTATTGACTTAAATTAGCTAATATATCTTTCTGAAAAAATACTTGTAATCTTGTTTTCTCTTATTTCAAATGTGCAAAGATATTTGCAGTAGGAACTAAACAAAATGATGTATTTTTTGTGTTTTTGCAGTGTAGAGTGGCTTCTACAGAGTATTACACTTGAGAGGCTAAATATAATTTTAATTTTGTTCTCTGTCAGACTATAGGTTTGTCTAGCAAAACAAATAAAAATTTAATTGAAAACCTTCAATTTTAACAAATTGTTCTACTTCAGGTTGGAAATAAACTGAAGTTATTAGTTGACATATAACAAAAAAAAAAAAAAAAAAAGAAAAAATAATGCTATTTTAAAATGTTTATGTATTTTAATGTTTTATTTCTGAACTTCATTGTTCTACTAAGCATTTCCTTGCCCTCCTGTGCAGGTATCAAACATTTATGTACAAAAAAAAAACAAAAAACGTATTCCTGGACTTCAAGCTGTCATTTCCATCTTGAGGGCACTTGAAGGTGGAGTATAGATTTTTTTGGCTGCAGCATGGAGCCGCTCAGCCGTTATCAGTATTCTGCTGCTGCATACTTCTGGAGTAAGCTGACATCTGAGGTCACCAGTGCTCCATCGCTTTCCTGATTGCTCGTCTCCATGGCGACCTCTGACAGAGTCCAGCTGGTCGATACGTTTGGAATAAGCATGAGGTCTACAGCAAATCCACACAGGACTGTGATGAAATGAAAAACGTTACAGATTTGAAAAATAAAGTTCTGATGATTTAAGCGGTACATCATGACCTCATCACTGATTTGGACTGATGGTAATCCATCTTGGTTTATATTGGTTGGAAATTTATTGTATTTATTGCAAATCTGCAACTTTTTATTCTGTTAATTCAGCTGAGTTTTGTTTTTAACATCATCTTAATAATGTAATTAAGATGTTAGAAATTTAGCATTGCTAGCAATGCTAAATTACTTAAGAAAGATGACATAATTATGGTTATTACAACTGCAGTGTTGAGTCTGCCAAATACCATTGATCCCTTTCAAAATTAAAAGAATTAAATTTACATTTTCACATAAAACTGGAGCTAGATGTGTAACAGGGTTTTATTTTAACCATATTGTTGAGGTGAAGTTTGTCAAAACTGGTTTATTCATCTTTCAAACTAATTTTGCTTAGCCAAAAAGTTATTTTCTCCTTTTTGGCAATATGGCCGTATTGCTCTTGACGGTTGGTGGTTACCATAGCAACCAGTAACTGTCAGCGCCGCCCCCTTTCTCTGTTGCCCCAGTAACTGTGGTATCGACTCTGTTTTCTTTACAAGTATTATATTTTAACGTACATTTAGGAGAACTTTAACTAAATACAGGGTTTCATATGTACTTCTGCCAGGTTTTGTATTTGCTTTTAACTTTTATCATTGTTGTTGCAGTGTTTAATTTTACAAGTGTAACTGCTGCTAACTGCTGTCAGCTGTTCATTGGGAACCAGTGCTCTGTAGTTTGTTTAGGGTTATTTATTGTCTCTTATCTTTTTATCATAATGTATAGGGACAGAAACTGCTGAACCGATGTTAACCACCAACTTGATTTTCTGTCTTGATAGAATAAATTCAATGAACCTGAGTGTGTTGTGAAGTCAACCTACCGAACCTGAGATGAACAGAGAAGGGTTACATATGTGTCTGAATATTAAATGAAAAGTGGATGTAGCAGTGCTGAGTGTTGTAAAGAACAAATTTACAAATCTTAATTAACAGGACATGGTTTGGCTGAAATCCTTCGCCTTGATCCCTTCTGGATAAAAGGTGCAAACGGCTGATGAGAAGAGTCTACCAGAGCCGTTTTTTAAAGCCGGTGCCTCCCACTGTGATCCAGATGGCAGCATCAGAACATAGGCGGAGGGTTTGCACCACTTTCACACCCCAGGGAAGCGGGTTTCATGCCAGAGCACGCACACATCGGATTGGATTGGGTTTTTAATCTACATGAGCTGGTTGGGTGTGTGTGTGTGTGTGTGTGGATCTGTGGGAAGGACAGTGAGGGTGTGTTTGTCATACCAAAGAGTGTTGCTCCAAAAATACTAAAATCTTCGGCTGTCTCCTAATTCATATGATGTTTTAGAAGGAGATAGAAGATGCAGTGTGACCAAAATTACCAAAATAAAAGCAATTTAGACAGAGAGAGTTTGAAACATCCACAAGATGGCGCTGTGGATAACGCCATCAATATGCAGAGAGAGGCGCAGAGAAGTGGGTCTGTGCGTTTGTTTTGGGCTCACAGA